TGACAAATTTAGGAAAACACAATTAAAAGAAATAAAAAAAATTAAAAACTGTGAATCGCTTCGGTAAAAAAAAACGGCGACAATCTTTCTCTCCCTCTTTTTTCTCTCTTCTTTTTTCTCCCTCTTTCTCTCTCTTCTTCTTTTTTATTTTCCTTTCACGTTTATTTTCTATCTTCAACTTTTTCTTCTTCTTCTTCAAACCATAGTGTCTAATAAAAAAATATATTAGATTTTAATTATAAATAAAATATCCTAACAAAGAATCATGAAATTTTGTTTAATATATTTTCTATTTTTTATTATTTGCAGCAAAGTTTTTTTTTTTTTTTTTTTTTTTTTTTTTNNNNTTTTTGTTTTTCTGGATCGTTGGAAAATTGATAGAGGCAGAAGGGATGAAGAAGAAGACGAGAGTTTTTTGTTTTGTTTTGTTTTGTTTTTTAGTTGTAAAGTCGTTTTTGTGTTGTTTGATTGTTGTAATTTATTTATTTATTTATTTATTTATTTTTGTTATGTTATTCACAATTTCATATATTTGTTGTAAAACTTAATTTTGAATCATTTTATTGTTAATTGAAAGTTGTTTTCATGTTGTTTGACAGATGTTATACTATTGTTTTATAGTTACTTCATTGTTGTTAATTGAAAGTTGTTTTAATGTTGTTTGACATATGTTATACTATCGTTTTATGATGATTACTTCAATTGATCCAGTGCCTAGTAACGAAGAAGAGGAGATCATTATTCATAATTGCTATAAATAAAAAAAAATAATCTTTGATCATCTTTTTTGTTTAATAATAATAAAAAAAATTAACTTTCCATCATGAATACAAAAAACACAAAAACAGTTGCACAAAATTATAATTGATAATTAACCACAAAAAAACCAACTTAGATTTTTTTATCATCATCAAATCATTAAAAATAGTCGCAAAATACAACGCTCCACCAACAAGTACATCATCTCCTCATTTATTAACCATGTTCCAAAAAATAAATAAATACACATAGGAAGAGTATGGTGGAAAAATAAAATAAAAATAAAAATAAAAATTCATTCACATAACCCGTGCACCTTCCTGATAGTCTCAATTTGGCCGAACAGCTCACAGATAAAAACATCCGCCCTCTCCACTATGAAGCCAACATCGTCCCGTGCACCATCGGAATTCTTCCTCTTATATGAAAGCGGCATGACGACCTATTTCTTGTTCTCTTCTTAATGTGGATTCCGAAAAAGCAACATGAATTGTAACCACATGCTTCTTCCTCCATTCGATATTTCATCTCATGATTCAAGCGGGAGTAATTCAGAAATATAGAAATTGCACAATGACTGTTTCAAAGATAAACAAATTAATAAACAAAAAAATTTCAAAAAATTTTCAAAGTAAAAATTCAAATAAAATTTAATTTTTTTTTCCTCTAATTTTGTTTACTTTTGGATCCTCTAATTTTTTTGCCATGCGTTTTCCTCTAATTCAAAGTAAAAATTCAAATAAAATTCTAATTTTTCCTCTAAGATGAATAATAATAATAACTATCAGATACTAGAAAATCGTGCCGGTTAGAAATTAAAAAAATAAAAAATAAATAATAAAACCACCGTACAATTGAAAGCAGAAGTTACAAAATTTAAAAATTCAAAAAAATAAAAACCACCCTCTAAAAGGGTATAACTGAACATAAACAGAGTAAAATTGTTTAAATAGCGAGTAGGAGTTTTAACGCAAAATGTTTATGTATAAGGTTATGATGTGTCATTATTTCATTATATTTGTGTTTAGTTCCTAAAATCCAATGTCTTACATGTGGGCCAAATAGTTTTAATCAATTGGGCCTAAAATCTAATACATATGTTTGGGCCCAAGTCATTTTTTGTTTTCAGCTCACATAACTAAACAATTTCACTCAAATACATTCACAAATTAAAATATTGGTTCACATCGGACGGCTATGATTAAGTCAACAAAATCGGATGGCAGAAATTAAGGGACATATCGTATAAAAGGACGGAACACCCGATTAGGGTTTTATTTCCTCCCTCAGTTTTTTTCGCCGCTCTCTCTCTCTCTGTATCTCTCTCTCTCGATAACTCTCGATAAGTCTTGCCTAAAATCTTTCCTTGAATAACATCTTCCGATTTTGCAGAATTCTTGTCTGATAATTTTTGTTTCATCACTGAGCTTTCTTATTTTGTGAAATAGAGAACCTCGATTTTATTTTTCACATTTTTTTGTTCGTTTATCGAAAAACGTGAAAAATGAAATCTGAATTTCGATCACTGCCAATAAATCGACGATCTTCAAATCGGAAATATAAACACCGCTGAGGAAGGTAACAACAACTTTCATTTTTTTTTTTCTTTTGATGTAGTATTTCAGTTATAATATAATAGATATGAGCTCTTGCGAAATTGATGCTTTTTTTTACAAATTTACGTCAATACAACACCAGATCTATGTTTGCCTGTCATTTTGCTCTCTATTTCTGATCGAATTGAAGTGTTTTATGTGTGAAACCTGTGTTACTTCTTGTTGTTTTTTACAATTTTATGTCAATACAACAACAAATCTATGTTTGCCTTTAATTTTGCTATCTATTTGTGATCGAATTGAAGTGTTTTATGTACGAAACCTGTGTTATTGCATTTGTTTTTTCATTTTCATGTAGATCAATTTAATTTTTTATTTAAGTCATAAATTTTTGCAAGCTTACAATACTTGACACTGTTCGAAATTGCAATCTGCTAACCAGCTGAATAGTATGTTATCGATTTTGATGTGCATATGTTGGTCGTTCAAATGCAATAGTCGTTTGGTTGTTTCCGATAGTCACACGAATATGAACTAAGTATATTTGGTTGACAAATGCATGAACTATCATTCCGAAAAACTAATTGAATAAGTGTTTCATATATCTGAAATATTCACACATAATCACATATATTTAAGTGTAGAGCTCGAATTTGGTTTGTCTATTAATAATGTTCTGTAATCTAATGGTAACAGGTAGACTATTTTTAGTTTGGTACGAATATGAACTAAGTATATTTGGTTGACAAATGCATGAACTATCATTCCGAAAAACTAATTGAATAAGTGTTTCATATATCTGAAATATTCACACATAATCACATATATTTAAGTGTAGAGCTCGACTTTGGTTTGTCTATTAATAATGTTCTGTAATCTAATGGTAACAGGTAGACTATTTTTAGTTGTGAATGGTGGTACCAAACTTTAAATTGACTTAGATACAGGTTGGATGTTTTTTTTTAAGGTTATTTGAACTAACTATTTAATTGTAAGTTCAATCTTTAATTTCTGACCAAAATACTATCATTTGATTGCATGAGAATCATCCATACGCGCAAAGAGCTTGGTTCAACTACAAAAGCTACATAATACTTGAGACAACATAAAATGGGCTCTGTGCTATCAGTAAGTGTTTTACTTATTCAACCAAATAAGATTACGGCTTCTATTAAATGATTTTTTTATTCAACCAAACTTGAAATTGAATTAGATACATGTTGGATGTTGTTTTTTTAAGGTCATTTGAACTAAATATTTAATTGTGAGTTCAATGTTTAGTTTATAACCAAAGTGCTTTCATCTTATTGCATGAGAATCATCCATTTGTAAGGAGCATGGTTCAACTACGAAAAGCTACAGATTACTCGAGGCAACATAAAATGAGATATGGGACATTGGTAAGTGCTTAACTTATTAAAAGATGTATAAAACTAAACTTATGAAATGATTTTTATATTATCATATCAGGTATCATGTATTTTCTTAAATAATATAAACTCTTATTTGTAGAAAACATAGAAGATCACATACTGCATTATCCAAGGGCTGAATACTTATATTTTTATATTATCATATCTTGTTCTTATATTTTTATTACCTTTTAAAGTTAATATATTGGACTTAATACTTATCTATGTTAGGGTCATAAGCTATATTATTTAATTTTCGTAAATGTTCGCCTATATTTTTAAAGCTCGACCGCAAGTGTACGGCTTCGCTCGTAGTATCTGGCAAGCAATGTCGTATCCCAAGAGACCAAACAACCAATTAATCAAGTACTAGATTATGATAGTGCCAATTTTATTTAGACGACCGAATATAAGATTGATTAACTTAAACTAAGAAAATA